CTCTCTGCACACATGCACACAGTCACACTCACATGAACCTCTTCCTCTTGACTCCACAGGCCTGGAAACATCCTGTTCTTTGGATCAGATGAATAAGCATGGCTTTACTTATACATGTACACTCTGGATACACAGAGGCAAAGAATTGTTACACACAGTCCTTCCTCCCCAAAAGATTTGTTCTGCATAAGTGATAAATGCTGATGAAACCAGAAAAACCATGAGATTTAGATAATAATTTATGTATGGTCATATTGGTTTATGAGGAGCCTGGTTGCATATGTACTTTATCCTGTTTGTTGTGGTGAGGTGTGCTGGGCCTGAACTCAGAAGACACAGTGAACATTAAGAGAAGAGCTGTCATCTTTGTGGGGAGAAAGTCTTAAAATAACCACTGTGTACAGAGGCAGCGCCACCATGAGACAATGCTCGGGTCAAAGATGAGCCTGTCTCCTCTTCCTTTTTCACTTGTGAAGTAAACATTTCTCTCTGTGACACACGCCCAAGTACTCACTAACGCCCAAAATATATATATTTTGCACCAGAGTGACTGGGTGATATAGGCCTGTCATTTGCAAAGTTGACAAGTGGTAAAAATGTTGTTAGAGAGGTGGGGGCCACAGTGTTTTATTTTCATGTTGTTTTTCATGACATAAAATGGCCTTAGGAGACATAACAATTCCATTTTTAGTTCAGAATGATTTAATTGTAGCTTCTTGTCAGAGTAATTGTTTGAGAGACATATTTTTTAACAATATTTCTTGTTTCAGTCAAATGTAATGGATGCAAAACTACCACAATTTCTGTTGCAAACATAAAACAGAGAAGCTCTGTGGGGCTGTATTTCAAGCTAAATGCTACCATCAACATCCTAAGATGCTAATATTTAGCAGGTATATAGTGTACCATGTTCACAATCTTAGTTTAACCGTAGTTGCAGTAACATTTTGGACCTGATAATGGCAAAGTTAAGAGTGAATAAAGTGATTACAATTCATCCTGTGAGAAACATGAATGTTTGTACCAGATTTCATGCCATGGAAAGTCAGGGGATCACCACCATCATTAGGATTCCTCCTCTGGGGACCATGAGGTCATGTTGTCAGTATTTCTTTGTCTGTGTGAATTTAGAGGTTTTATAAAAAGGTCGATTTCTACTATTAATTCTATGAAAAGCTTACACATGGTTTGTATTTGTAAGATGATTTTTAGACAGTATGTCTTAATTTGACTATTTTTAGTATCATTGAGTACACTACTTGAGTCACACTTTGACACTTGAGTGACTAAACAGTTGGATCGCCCTTTACCTTCCCATTTCTTAACACATAGTCTATTACTCACAGCTGATACAAATCACAGTCCCAGAAGAGCCGGATCATTATACTTCTAACCACTGAGAAGCAGTGTTTGATTATTTGGGTGATGAAGTGTTAACCCACTTATAAGCTCCATTTACTATCACAGTGTGCAGCACTGCCCAGAGGAAGACAAATGTCATATTGGAATAATTTACTGTAGATTATCTGACATATTTACATAAATTATCATGGTGTCATTTCTGACACAACTATTGCAGTTCATAAATATGGTAATCATTTTCTAAACGGCATATTGGATTCATTAATAAGCTCAGCTTGGCTGCCTCACCCTTCCACTCCCTCTGTGGGGGAACAATATGAGGTGTCAACATAGCTTCCAAAATATTGTGTCATAGCACAGATGAATGAACACTCATAAAAGTGGTAATATGGAAAATCAGGAAAATCCATGTCTTTGTTTCCTCTTATTTATTATTACTAGATACTCATGCTGCTTTGAGGTGTTAAAATTATGTTTCTTATCTACTTTTCTCATGAAAATTCCCCCTGACTTTTGGCTAAATCTGGGTATCATTCATGTTGTTTTAATGGGTCAGTGAAACATCTGTGATGGTTGAAACCCATATGCAAGTCACAGCAACATTACTGTTCTCAACCAGCTTTTTTTGCTTCTTTTTTAGTCCACGCTGATGTCTGTGTCTGTGCTAGAGCTTAATTTAGCACAGATCACTTTTATATTAGATCTGATGTAAGAGTAAATGTCTCAGTCAGACAATTGAATCCAAAGTATCCAAACAATTTCACTGTCTAAATTATTTTGACGGGCCTTGCAGTTTTTTGACAGAGATTATGTCGGTGCTCCTGACGCTGAGCTGAACTCCTTATGTGGCTGTTCGTTCAAAAAGGATGAATTTATGAATTGTATGTATGCAGTCAGTCTTTTACACTTGCTACACTTGTCAGTCCCTGACACTTTTTTTTTTTTTCTTGTTCACAGGATGGTTTACGCAGATTGTCAGGAAATGAATACATCTTTTCCACAAAACGTAAGTTTACATATAGCATATAGAAGAGTTGTATGAAGTGTTAGGAAGTGTGAAGTTATATTTATTTTTCCCAGCTCTGTTGTTATTAAAAACTAAAAAAAATGTTTTTTTTTCTTCTGTAGTTTATCCAGAGGTAGTGAACAACAACATGTCTAACCTCTCCCTTTTTATCTGAATGCTTCCTTTACTCACAGAACCCCACCATATTCCCAGTCACTTGATAACTCCTCTGTCGTTAAATGACATCCCCCCTCGCATCGCCCAGACCATGGAGAATGAGGACTCTTGGGATTTTGACGTCTTCAACTTGGAGGCTGCAACCATGAAACGGTGAGGCAGCAAAAGAGTTAAGGGCTACAGGAGGGACTGTGTCTAATTTTATTTAGTGTAGAGGGAGAGTTTGGGATGAGATTTTTTGTTAAACGAGCATGCTGAATCCTCCCGCAGGCCTTTGACCTACTTGGGCCTGAAGATCTTCTCCCGCTTTGGGGTCTGCGAGTTCCTAAACTGCCCTGAGGCCACTTTGCGCTCCTGGCTACAAGTGATTGAAGCCAACTACCACTCCAGTAACTCCTACCACAACTCTTCTCATGCAGCTGATGTATTGCACGCAACGGCATATTTCCTCTGCAAGGAGAGGGTCAAGGTAAATTAACAAATAGTGATTATTCATAATAAAGCATTCTATTTAAATAAAATACAGGCCAGATTTGCAAAACATAGTGTGAGTTTTGCTTTCAGAACATTGCTACTGCTCCACTTTGCTTAGGCTAAAGGTGGTGTTTGTTAATTAGCCAGGGGACAGTCAGGGGATTTGTCAGTATTTATGATAATAGCCATTTTCAAACAAAATGCCACAAATGTACTGGTTGGAGCTTTTTTTGGTTTTATTCTATACAAAATTACTACTATTTTTTGAACAAAACAAGCAATTTGAAGATGTTACATTGGGTTTCCAGGATGTTGTGATGTCCATTTTTTACAATTTATTAACTATTCTCGGACACTTTGTAAACCACAGTTAACAGTTAATTAATTAATAAAATCATTAGTTAGCAGCTTTAATACATATCATTGGTTTTGGGCCCAAACGCCTACAGTATCTTGACGTTGGGATTTTCTACTATCAAGTACAGTTCTCCGCTCAGTCTTTGGAGTCGGGTGTCCTGTCTGACCCTACATAATCAAGTCGTGGTTTTGCCCAAGTGTGTCAGTGGCTCAGTAACTGGTTTAGGGCATGCACTGGCTAAGCTGATTACCAAACTGTCTATTTCTGATCTGAGTGATCTTTCATTGGCTTAGCCAGTGAACTGTAAAGTTACATCACCCAAGGTTAATGAATTCCTGGAACAGGTTAAAAGGTCTGTTATGTTGAAAATTAATTTAAAAATGCAGAATTATGTTCTTTTTCTTCTTAACTTATACATTTTAACTTTTTATATAGTCCCGTGACACGTGATGAAAAACTATCCAGCAAACAATAAATTACCTCAGAAATATGATGCCTAAAATTACAAATAGTTGAGTGCAGATGTTTGTTCTATAATATTGTATAGTCATATTAATTTTGAATTCACTGTACCAAAAGAACATTGAAAATTAAATTTTTTGTGTGTGTTGTGTTTTCCTATTAATAAATCACGATTGTCTTTCACAATGTTGCGCTACTTCTTGGTTAAACCTGCAGGCTAAGCTGCATGCTCATCACAATTGTGTAGATAGTGGGATGTGACATGTCTGTTGAATGTAGAATAAGGTTAAACTGTGCCAGCATTTGGCCTAGTTTCTCATTCAGAACTGCCAAACTTCACTCCTGATAACAATAGGACCAAGGTGGTAATATACCAGATTTTCCAGTTTCATGCTTTTCATGTCGTTTGCCCCAACAGCAAAGTTTGGATCCCATTGATGAGGTGGCTGCCCTGATTGCTGCTACTGTGCACGATGTGGACCACCCAGGCCGCACCAACAGCTTCCTGTGCAACGCAGGAAGCGAGCTGGCCATCCTCTATAATGACACAGCTGTGCTAGAGAGCCACCATGCTGCACTGGCCTTCCAGATCACCACAAGAGATGATAAGTGCAACATATTCAAGAACATTGAAAGGTAGGTAGACGTCTTGCATAAGGGGTCTAAGATGTCATGATTTGTTAATGTCTTTGCTGTAAATAGCTCAATTGAAGATCACAGGATCAAAAATTGTTTCCATTGTTAATTTTTCTAAACTACTCAAGTTAAGTGGATGTATCTAAGTATGAAAAAAGGGCATTGTGTGATTTTGGGTGTCCAACATTCACCTAATAATTTCTACTTTAGAAGATAATTATTATATTCAAATTTTTGGCTGAACTCTTACTTTAATTTAGTCCAAATTAGGTGAATTTTTCAGACTTTTGAGCTTATGCACAATGACAGCGATTACACTGGAACCCAGTTGTAAGAATATTTTTGAACTTTGCTTTATTAGATTAACAATTATTCTATCTAATATATCAATATGCAAGATTGAGAAAATTAATATTTTGTGTGAAACTGTGATACAGACGTCACCTGAAGCATCATAGGGGATAAGCTAAGTCTGCCAATGAAAGCAACACTGTGTGCGTGTGTTGACAGCAGCGGGGTAGTAATGTGATTTGAGTCCCAAAGCAGAATAGCTCACATGTGCTGGTCCCCTCAGAGGGGGAAGGTGAACAAAGCATCCATTCATCGCCACTGTCACTGCAGTCATAAGGGAAAAACTGTTCACACGGGTTTCCATGCTATTTACCACACTGTCATCTCACTCTCTCTGTTTTCTCTTTTCTGCTCTCCCTGCCTTCCCCTCCTGCACCCATCTGATTTCTGCCCATCTCTGTCTCTCTCCCCCTCTCTCTGTCTCTCTCTCTCTAGGAATGAATATCGAACACTACGACAGGCCATCATTGATATGGTGCTCGCAACTGAAATGACCAAACACTTTGAACATGTCAACAAATTTGTCAACAGCATCAACAAGCCACTGGCTGCTCTGGAGGAGAATGGGGTGAGACTATAAATGAAATCCACGTTTTTAAATGTTTTTAGATTTCATCTCTCTGTGTAGAAATAGTAAGTACTAATTTTAGCATTTTTTTCTAAAAACATCAGTGTTGCACGTCAGAGCAGGAAGGATTCACAGGAGCTTTCAGACACTAGATAAACACTTTTGTAAAAAACAAAAAACAAAAAAAAAACTATTGTAATCTCATTCTGTCACCAACAGTATTAAAGCAATAATAGTATAAGAGCTTGAGAGATGATCATACTGGTTCAGGGGACTTGTCTTGCCTGTTGTTGGCTGGGCACAGATATCTTTGTGGGGAGAGAATTTTACAACTTGGTACCATCTTTCTCGTCTGTGTGTGGAATGCTCAACACAGACATTTAAAAGCTGTCTTGGTCTTTAAAGGCAAGAATCAGGTGAATATAACACCATAAAAGATTTTATTCTTATTTTTTT